GAATATATATATACAGTATATATATATATATATATATATATATATACATATGTATATAATATACATACATATAGTAATTTAGCATTAATTTGAAAACAAGAAAAGGGAAATAACATGGCTTTATTTTTAATAAATAATTTCTCACCATTTCTCGCTCAAACAATATTTGTTCCTTATATAATGTACGTGTCATGTTTTATTTACATGATCAATACTCATTTATGTATCTGAAATTCTGAATACGTTTAATGGTAATGCATCAACATATCAGAAAGCATTTGAAATGTAGCATTTATTTGCATATATAGGCTAAACAAGACCAGACTGGACCAAGTCTTAGAAAATAAAGGTTCCGGAAAGTTTCAGATGAATGCTCTAAACATAAAAAAGGTTATTTTAAGAACCTTTCACTGAAATATTGTTTTACAGTATGACAGCTGTATCATTCCTTTTGGAACCTTTATTTTTAAAAACGTTTTTATAATCACAAAGTTTCTTTCACATTTGTGTTATATATTGGAAAATGCTACAAGTGGATGTATACAAAGTCAAATTCACACAAGACAAGATGAATGCCAAACCTATGTGACATTTGTTGACCCTGAGTGTGAGATGGACATATGTGGTTGCTACTTAAGTTAATATCCAGTTTCTTTAGACTTCACCGAGACCAGGGTAAACATTTTTTCCATCCTTTCTGTAGGAATCCATAAGGTCCATTGAGGTGAGCAGGTCTCGCTAGTTCTGAATGGCCACATGAATCTCGCAGCTGCAGAGGAGCTGTGTCTGAGGCCCGCGTTTTCACGTGTCCAACTTGTGAGAAAGAATTGTAAGACTGGTTGTTTGATTTCACAGGACCATGCGTAGTTAAACAAGGCGTATGTTTTGCATTTCTGAGAAATTCCTGCAATACACTTTCCTCAAAAAACAACGATTCCCTTCTGCAAACGCACGGACTTTCACCAAGTGTCAGAAAGCCATACGGAGTGGTCATTTTGCTGAGATGAGGCAGTGACATTGCAGCTCTGGTGGTCGGGTCTGACAAAATATGAGTCTGAAGATCATCCATGAAGCTCAAGTCGTGCTCCTCTGAGAACGGGCAGCAGCGCGTGATTGCTCGGACTACCGGTGATGTGGACCGGGGAATAGTGTTCCGCCGTCCACTCCCGACTCCAGCCTTCTCTCTTCCGCATCCCTCGAGTCTCGCCGGGCACAGTGAGGGGATGATGAACTCGGGAACAGTGTCAGGTGTCACCACCATGTTCCAAAGAGGCAAGTGTCTCGTTGCTGCCGGTTGAATCTGCCAAACGCTTGATTGGCGAGGTTTTTCTCGCTTAGCAGAGGCAAAATCACGAGCTGATAGATTTCTGCCCATTGTTTACAGCTGGCATATAACTTTCAAGTTAAATGTTGGTAAAGTTTTTTTGTTTTGTTTTTCTCCGTTGAGCCAATTAATGATGGTAGTTGAGGGCATTTTCTTTACAGTCCATTTATTTTCAGATTTTTCACAGTTTATGAAAGTCTAGAGGAAATCTTGCACTGCTTCACTTCTGGACAAGAGCGAGAAACTCAAGTGGCAGTCTATGGTGACAACTGAAGAGACATATAGAGTGCCGACAATAGACTCCTCCCTTTATGATAACAAATTAAAATGAGTCGTTATCTTATAATATAGGCCTACTAGTTAATCTAATCTGTATCTAATCTAGAATCTATCTAATTATTTTCTTTTCTTTTTTTTTCTTTTCTTTTCTTAACCCCCTGGCTGTAAAGTAAAAAAAATAATAAAATAGACTCGCAGGCTGACAGCAGGGTCGAATAGAGTCGTAATAATAGGCTATCTAGGCTAATTAATGTGCCTAAAATAAAATATAAGGAAACAAATCAGATGTACAGGTAATACAAATATAAAAGTTCATTATTGTGATTTTGAGGGTCATTTCCTTGAAAAAAAACCCGTCAAAGCGCCATATTTTCATCGCTTTTTCTCGCAAAACTCTATTTAGATGATTAAAACTACTAAAGTAACGTTATATTATTGAAATATT